GCACGGGCCAGCAGGAGTCAGTGCTCCAGTTCCATGCTCACCTTTGGCTACGGAATAGTAATAAGCGACAAAGTTTTTCCCTATGTTGTTGAAGCTTCGGAAATACACGAGGGTCAGCGAGCTGGCGGAGGACGAGTAGGTGAGGTAGTAGCCGGAGCAGATCTTCCCCAGGGACTCGGCGGAGGACGGCGGGCCGTCCAGGACCTCGAAGTACTCGTTGGTGCAGTCGAGGCTGGGGGCACAAGCACAGGGGTGCGGCTCAGTCTGCAGATGACGGATGCCCGGGTGCTGTGAGGCAGACCCCGTGCTTCTTACTGCAAAGGGCCTGGGCCAGTGAGGCCTGCGCTAAAGTCAGTCAAACAGTGTGGATTCCTTCACCCACTTTCTCCCGCTAGGGAGTCATGCTTTAGGGAAGGAGGCAGCTGCCAAGGCCCCCAGGGCACCCTGAAGACAGAGGCAGGGCCAGGCCCTTCCAGGCAGAGACGGCAGGCCCAGAAGGGGCTGGAGGCTGCCTCCCGGCCAGCGGGCCCGGCTCCGGGAGCCGCCAGACAACCTTCCCCAGCTCTGGCTCCGGCAGGAGAGGGGCCCGAAGCGCGCTGTGGGGAGGTGGCGGACTTGCTGGCTCTTCTGACCTGACACCCCCAGAGCCAGGCGGCTACTTCCCCACCACACCCCCGGCTGCTCCAAAGCATATTCCGATCAAGCAAGTTCAAGAGTAAGAAATACTTCAGGTCGCTTCTGGGGATTCATTGCCGAAGACACGGCATCTCTGCAGGACACCAACCTTAACGATAAAATCTAAACTGTCCAGATTTATTAGGCCGGGAGTTGCCTTAACCAGCAGGTCAAGAGGCAGGCTATCCTCACGCCTTTCTCCTCTCTGTCTCTCGCTCAGATCCCAAGCACATAGGCTGACCTTCACTTTAATAAATAAAATGTGGAAACACACAAAAGCAATTTATTTCTACATGACAGCAGCAGATGCGGAAACCAGTAGCAAAGGGCTCAGCGTCACTGAGTGACATGAGGCTGAGAGTCAAAGTGGTATTTGGAGATTTCTGACACAGAAAAGAAGGGAATTTCACTCAGCAACCAAAACAGATAGA